AATTTAGAAAACATCTAAAGGAAGCCCAACAATAAGCTAATGTGTAACACGCTCCGGTCTTTGTTTTGTATTTTCCATCCAAACCAGTTTTGTCCATTTCGGGGTCGTATGTGTCGCTGTAATCCTAATTTGTAGAGATGAAGGGTTTTGTTTGAATAGATGTCACAATAATAAACTTTATTCCACATTCAGACACTGAACGTTTCAACTACAAAGTTTTTTATTCATCCACGACGGTCCATTTTCCCCATCATGGCACACAAACACCTTCCAGCGCATGAGGCAGAGTTCTGTTTGCACGGTGCACACACGTGTAACCGTGTTTGTGTGCACGGACGAGGTGCGTCGTGCTGATTCTGGAAACTAGATCAGGGCCGCTGGAACACACACTTGTCTTTCGCTGTGAGCCACTTGGCTCTCGTTTCCCCCAATCGTGCTTTTTAAGCTGCAGCTGATCTTGAATATTGATGGGATCCCCTCAGCCCCCCCCCCCCCTGTTTATAGCTCTATTCTAACGAGATTACTTTGATTTCTTTTCATTTCTAATGAGATCACTGAGCAGCGAGGGGGCAATAACTGCTAATTATCTCACTATTGATTAATTCATAGCTGCTATTTTAAAATCTTTAGGACAAAAACGTGTTTTACTGGTTTTCACTCGTTGCTGGGGGTTGTTTTTCTAAAAGCGCGCAGACACAAGAAGGGCTCTTTACTTTTCCCAGTTGGGGTTAGAGTCTCTTGAAAAGTTATAATCTCAGAAATATCCTTTTTTACACCGTTTGATCCCGTGTTTCAATTTATGTAGCTAGAAGGAGCTGAGATGTTAGCATCCATCCATCCATCCATCCATCCATCCATCCATCCATCCATCCATCCATCCATCCATCCATCATCTTCCTCTTGTTCTGGACTCAGGTCTCGGGTGCAGCATCTTCACAGGGAGGTCCAGACATCTCTCTCCACAGCCTCTTCCAGATCTTCTCGGAGGACTCCAAGGTGTTCCCAGACCAACCGGGAGACGCACCAGACCATACCAATTTATTTATAAAGCACTTTAAACAGTGACAAAGCACACCAAAGTGCTGTACAGGGACAAACAGAACAAGCACACAGCAACAGATTACATAACAGGACACCAAAAAGTAGAAACCGACAAAAACAATAATGGATAACAACAACAACCGCAACATGACCAACGCAGTGTGATGCACACAGACTCGGCACAGATCACACAGTGCAGAAAGCCAGGGAATAGAAGTGTGTTTCTAAGCGAGATTTAAAAACTGTGAGGGAGGGGGCCTGTCTAACGAGCAGAGGTAACTCATTCCAAAGTCTTGGGCCTGCTACAGAGAAGGCCCTGTCACCTCTGCGCTTGAGACGGGTTCGTAGTCTCTCCAGCGTGTCCTGGGTCTTCCCTGGGGTCTCCTCTCCGTCGGACATGCTCGTAGCACCTCCCTAGGGAGGCGCCCAACGATGCTGAACCACCTCAACAGTCTCCTCTGGATGTGGAGGAGCAGCGGTTCTGAGTCTCTCCTGATGACTGAACTTCTCATCCTGTCTCTAAGGGAGAGTCCAGCTACCCTGCAGAGGAAACTCATTCTTGTCTGTGTAAAGACCGTGACTCCTCCAAATCATATCCCCGTCTCGTGCACGGTGGTTGTATCTAGCCATAACCATTTTAGCTTCAGCGGGGGCTGTTTAGTACCAGCTGGGTACGAAACGATAATCATATTTTCTCCATGCAGTTTCTATGTGCACACACACCGACTGATTAAATGATCATAGTTGGACTTGGCTCCAAGGTGTATATGAAGAGGCCAGTGGCAGGCAGCTTCTTTACGTACCCAAAATGTCTGGGTACGTGATGACCAAAGTTTGTGCAGAGCTACAAATGGACCTGGCGCTCTCTGCAAAACATTAAATAAAAAGTTTCATGTTTTTGAAAACCAGACTTTTTTCAGTTGAAACTGGCAGTAGATAGACCCTGAAAATATTTTAAATATTAACATTTTTTAATCAGGCGGATCCCTCAGAGATCACGGATCTCTTTTACAAGAGACGCCTAACGTGCAGCCTAACGTGCACGTTTTGGGACAGTGGCAGGAACCGGAGTACCCGGAGAAAACCCACAAAAACACGAGAACATGCAAACTGCACCCAGAAAGAGCCCAGGTCCAGCCCGGGGATTGAACCCAAGACCTTCTTGCTGTGAGGCTACGGTGCTAACCACTAATCCATCGTTCTGCCCAAATACAGTTAACACCATAAGAAGTTAAAACATTGATTTATTTTTAAAATCTGTTTGATATTTGGTCTTTTCTGTCGGCTGAACGATCCCAGCGTCATCATCTTTTACAAAAACAACTCTGTTTTCTGCTTCAGCCGTAGGTTAACAAATGATGCTAATTAGCATAAAGTCATATTACATTTGGTTGGCAAACATGCTCGTATGCTATAACTTCTATGTGCAAAATGTTTGATGTAAATCCTGTAAATATGAAAGAGTAGGTGTGCTGACAACTACTAGCTTGAAGGTCACGTAGCGGGAGTTGTACTTGTTAATGTGAGAGAAATGTGCTTACTGCTGCTCAGTTGTTCAAGTTTCTGTTCCTCCAGAGAAATGAACGTCCCGTTTGCCCTTCGAATGTCAGCGGAACAGACTCAGTTCTAAATGAACTGGTCTGATCAGTAGACCCGGGGACAAGGCTGAGTGCAGCAAAGCCTCAGCAACACAAACGACTTTTGCATCAAGTGCAACTTTTCCTAATTTTTGTTTGGATGAGGACTGACGTCACACGTTTAGTCCTGTAAAAGAGACGGGACCCAAACAAACAAAGACAAAATAAACAGAAAAGAAAAGAAAAATCAAGCTTTATTTGATTTAATTGAATGCAACAAGGACGTTCTCCTGTTTCAGATACCTCCAAACAAATTAAAGTGGTTGTGTCTCAAAGCATATGTCTAATTAGGATGTGTATGGACCGCTCGGGGCTAACGGAGGAAGCTAATGTAGTGGAAAATGTGTCTTAGCTGGGCCATGAAATAATGATGAGAAACTGTGACTTAATCATGTTGACACGTGGAGCTTTCTCTTCATCGGCCTCAGTTTCCTTTTCCGTCTCCCCGTCAGCCTTTTCTGATTAAAACCAACAGTGCACGTCTTCTATTGGTTCTTTCAAAGACGGCGCAGATCCTAATTAGTATTAGATCATTAAAATTATTAAAATAGCTGCCAGTGACTGCTTTAAACAACAAAATCAAACCTTAAAGTCACGATATGGCTTTAATTAGAATCATAAGTTAGAGTGAAAAAGGAGTTGTGATGTTTCTAATTAAACAGTATTCCCCTTTACTTAACATCAACGTTAATTATTGAAGCTCATGTTTTCCAGAACAAAAAGACATAAACAAACTTCAGCTCATTTTCTTTCTGTTGAGCAGGGGCGATTCTAGGATCTGACCTTTAGGGGTGCTTAGCCCCCGTACTGCTCTTAGCTTCAACGCACCCCCTGGTGTGGATTGTGAGAAGTGCTAAAGCTAACGGCACCTGGTGCCAGGTGGTCTCACATCCAGGTACTAACCAGGCCCGACCCTGCAGGGTCAGACGAGATCAGGGTGATACGGCCGTAAACGAGCAGCTCAGGCACAAATAGCACTTTTAAAGGATCATAGCAAACAAAGACTAAACTTATGCAACCAGAAGTTACAACATATGTCTACATATAAAACACAAAACAAAGCGCAGCTAGCTTTAAGCATTAACTTTAATTTAACCGTTAAACATACGATGTAATTATGAAGAAAATGGAATTTACCTGCAGTTACTTTTGTACAGGTGAACATGTGGTACTTCCTGTTTATCACTGTCATCAGCTGGTCACGAGGTCGACCTCAGGACTTTATCGTCTTTTACATTTTCCAGACTCCTTTAGGTTTTATAAATGTAATAAACTGTTTTCCACCCTCTAAACTCTCAGGGTAACTCTGTCTGAATCACACGTTCTCCACTGACGACGTTTAACTGTTCAGTTCCTGAAGGTTTTTCATGAAGTCTCTGAGAGCAACGTGTTTAATGCAGAACCCCGACGGTGTTGGAGACAAAGACAGTGCAGCTCCTGCAGGGAAGGGGCGTTTACCTTCAGGACAAATCGAGGTCCCTGATTGGTCAGTTGCTGACTGGATTGATTGACAGGTGGCGCCGAGGATCTGACTCGTGCAACAAAATAAAATAATTGATTTTACCGACACGTTAAAGATTGTCATCATTTATTCTATATCTGTTCAATATTTTGGTGAATTTAACATTTGACAACTGAGTTTTTCTTACAAAGTCCTAATGAGGTTTCTTTATTTTTCAGAGGTGCTGAGTTCAAATGTCGGGGTGAGCACCCCCATAAAGAGGCTTTTTGTGACGGAGCTGCTGTAGATGATTGTGAACATTGAAACATTTTTCACAATAAAATTATAAAACTTTGTGTTTTCTGCCGTGAATTTGTTGTAGACCAAAATGTGTTCAAATGAAGCACAAGTTGTTTGTAATAATGTAGCGTTCATCGTGCACCTGTGTCTTTGTGCGTCAGTTCTTTCACAACCTCGTGGTAACGTCAGTTTTCTGCCAGCGTCTGACCAGACGTGGTCGTCCTGCGCTCTGGCTGCTCTACGCCGGCCGGTCTCAGTCCGGCACTTTGTCTTCTGTTCTCGTCTTCAAGTACGTCCCAAACGAACCCAGAGCAGCAGCTCAGACATCAGTTTCTTCCACCTCCATGTTTGAGGAGTGAATAAATATGAAGTACTGGTTTTATCTCGGCACACATCGTGCGACCGGATGCAGAACACGTGTTCTGGAGAAAACGGCGTTTAAACGTTGTTGGTACTCTTACAGTGCAACACGAACCCAGTGAGACTGGGACCGTTGATTTTAGGTCGCTCCTTTGACAAGATCGCACACGAGTTATTGATTTCCATCGTTCGTAGTTTAACAAGTCTTCTGTCTTTTTCAGGCGGCTGTACATTTGAGGAGTCCTATAGCAGCTGTGGATACAGCGTGTCTCTAGGAACCAATGGATTCACCTGGGAACAAGTCAACTCCTGGGAAAAACCCACCATGGACCCCGCCTTGCCAACTGGTAGGTTTCTCGTTTCCTCCTGAGTTTCCTGCAGTGAACGTCAACTTGAACGAAGGCCCGGAAAAACTTTATGACGATCAAAATGAATTAGACCCCATGTTGTTGAACGATCTATACATCTGAGTCAACTTCAGTCCGGTCCTGGTCACTGGGACAGGTTTACTGAGAAATACTCAACTTTGAGTCCTTCAGGAAATACAGACTGCAAGATGAGTGGGTGACTAGAAACATCAGACACAATGGTTGTTGCAATCAGAAGAAGTGTTGGAGAAAAATACTCTCGCTTACGTTGTTTACCTAAAACGAAGCAGCCACGACGGCAGGAGAAGATTTTGAACTGACATTTTACTTGCAAGGTCAGATGTTCAGGACAGGTTACATAAATATACATACATGTACAAACATGAAGAGAGTGGCACGGTGGCTCAGTTGGTAGAGCTGTTGCTTCTCAGTGAGAAGGTCGCCGGTTCAAATCCCGGCTTGGCGCCTTTCTGGGTGGAGTTTGCATGTTCTCTCTGTGCTGCGTGGGTTTTCTCCGGGTGCTCCAGTTTCCTCCCACAGACCAAAAACATGTTAGACTGACTGGTAACTCTCATTTGTCCCTGGGTGAGAGAGAGAGAGAGTGAATGATTGTTTGTCTCCATGTGTCCCTGTGATGGACCGAGACCTGTCCAGGTGTCCCAGGGATGGACTGATACCTGTCCAGGTGTCCCTGTGATGGACTGAGATCTGTCCAGGTGTCCCTGTGATGGACTGAGACCTGAACAGGTGTCCCTGTAATGGACTGAGACCGGTCCAGGTGTCCCTGTGATGAACTGAGATCTGTCCAGGTGTCCCTATGATGGACTAAGACCTGTCCAGGTGTCCCTCACCTCTCGCTCAGTGTTAGCTGGACAGCGGCACCAGTGACCCGAAAAGGAAGAAGCGTGTAAAGATGATGGCTGAATGGATGAACATGAAGACCAGTCACAAGGATCTGCCTCGAGCTGCGTTATCCGCTCACTTTGACTCCCGTGTCCATTCAGCCGAGTTCACAGAGCTCAGGAGGTGTCCTTGGAGCCAGCTGCAGCCAAACATATGGTTCATGGGCAGAGAGAACACGGCCTCAGTTATGTCTTTTGACAGCGTCAGTTTGACGGGAACTAAAGAGGAAAACATCGGTTTGTTCTGCGGCACAAAACATCACGTTTAACCTTTTTAAATTCAAGGAACTTAAGAGTGTGATGATATGAGACAGAGTTAACTGGATACAATGTTGAGATTTAAAAAAGAAAGGAAAAAAAAAAACACCTTTCTGCACAAATTAAAAAAACTTCATAGCAAAATATGTCATGAACCGCTGGATGAATTTTACTGGAACTCAGGAGGTCGTCACCCTGATCCAAAGCTAACTGATCTTAGCAAACACAGAAATCAGAGTCAGAACACACAATGAGATTAAGAGCCACTCCCTTTTTCACTGCAATGCTTAAGAAAAACACACACTAAAAATATAAAAATTTAACATGATATAGATATAATAGCACTATGAAAGTAAAGGAAAAAAGTTATTTCACAGTTATGTAAATTTGAATATGAAAATGGCCTCCAGTTTGGCCAGTTGTGCCGATATGGAGATGAAGTTTGGTGTGGTAGTAGCTGAAAGTCATCTCCAGCTCATCCTCTGAGAGTTACTCAGTCTTCGTGTTAAACTTGGGCATTCAAGTCGCAGCTGATCAACATTCTTTCCAGCAATGCTACTTTCATTTTTAGTTTTTTTAAAGAAGCTTGGCTCAATTTTTGAAGAGTATTTTTGCACTTGAGCGTTAAATCACTTGAACTAATGAAGGTGTTGATTTGAATTCTCCTCAGAGAAGCGATGAAGAGCTCTGAGACTCCATTTGGCCACGAGTCACAAACACCTACAATCGTAAAAATACTTGTTTTAATTGAATCAGAATTTGACATTTTCTGCGTTGGAGGATGATGCTGATGAAGGATCTCTGTCTTTAAATCCTCCCCTCCGTGTGAGTCAGCGGACTCGCTAACTTGACGTGACCCCCCCGCCCCCCAGCTGTGCTCCTCTCCGTTTGTCAGACTGCCCGTCCATGCAGCTCGCCTCCTCTCACAGACCTGCCCTTCGCGCCCTCTATCTCGCCCACAGTCTCACTCTCCAACGTTCGTGCTGTCCCTCAGAATGTTTTTCACACTTTTTCTCAGATTTTCTTCTTACTCTACGTCTACATGTTTTTTTTTCCCAGTTTGACTGACAGGACTGTTTATTCGGTGTAGTTTGACCAAAGCAGCGTTAAATATTCTGTGCCAGGCAAACTGGTCACGAGGCCAAAGAGGCCATTTTTCATCTTGTTTTTAATTTGGATACATCTGCCAATATCTGAAATATGTTGTAACTATTTAACACTGCTTGTTTGGACAAATCTGAATTTTTAACCAATAGTTCTTTAGACTTTCTGAAGGATTTTAGCTGCTATTGGACTATTTTAAGATCGCTTTATGTTTAATCTGTAAAAAAAAACCACCACAACATGTAAGAGGTCTTTGAAAGTCTTCACTGAAATTCATGCGTGGAATCACCTCGTTGGGCCTAAGTCTTATTTTCTGTTCATCTGTCTTCTTTGGGGTTTTTCACAATATGAACTAAAGAAACTGGATAAATTGTGTTTCTGAGACGGGCTGCGGGTAACAAAGTCCTTTCAGTGGGTCGGACTGTTGGAGACGAGCTGGAGACACAAAGGACAAAATATTAAATACATTTTCATTTGGACTCGTTCTGATTTGCTACTTACATTTTTTAAATCTGTGACTGCGAATAAATCGAAACATTCACAACTTTTCTACAAAAGGTGCACAGTTTTTTCTTTGCAGTTTAATAAAAGTGTCTCCGTCGTGTCTACATTTAAACGCGCTCATTTCAAAGACTTGCAGGTCCCCAGAAGGTGGTGTTTTTCTACACTGCAACCGTTGGAGACTAGGGATGCAATGATCCACTTTTTTCCACTTCCGATCCGATACCTACATTTTAATATCGGACGATACCGATCTGATGCAGAAAAACTGTGATGAATTAACAAAAATGGCTACATCATGTCATCTGGACTCATTTCTGAAACAGGTCCAGATGACATGATGTAGCCATTTTTGTTGTCTACCTGGATGGTTGAGTTTACAACCCAGCACTGAATTAACTTAAAACATTTGTTTTGTTAAACACAGACATGAATGTACTGAATCACAAATTTATTGAAAACTCTGCACCATAACATTGAACACACCAAGAGCTTCACAAGCTCGGTCAGACACAGAGTTAGAGTAAAGCATAGAGTTAGAGTAAAGCGTAGAGTTAGAGTAAAGCGTAGAGTTAGAGTAAAGCATAGAGTTAGAGTAAAGCGTAGAGTTAGAGTAAAGCGTAGAGTTAGAGTAAAGCGTAGAGTTAGAGTAAAGCGTAGAGTTAGAGTGAATAGATCTGCCCAGTCATGGATCGGTCACCGATTGTCACCGATACCCGATCCAGTAGTTGTTTTTTTTTTTTTTTTTTTTTTCATAACTGTACCGATATTGACATTGGAACGGTGCATCTCTCTAACAGCATTTGTGAACGAGTCTTTTACTTTTGTCTCACAATTTTAATTTGCTGAACATTTGCAGCCGAGTGAGACGCTGTCGTTTCCTGACTCACAGAAACCAAATCTGAGAAGGTGGGTTCCCAACACCCACGACAAGTTTTTTAAGACAAATGATCTCGCACCAGTTCAGCGTGAAGCCCCACAACTCATTTACTGTAATTTAATTTAATTTAATTTATTCATTTATTTAAAAGAAACAAAATAAGCAAAACAACAACAAACAAAACAACTCCATACTCCTGACAAACAGTTCAAAACATTTAGGAAAGTCCTCAAACGTTGTTCGCAGTTTGTCATCAACTGCTGCAGCTCGGTGACATCGTCACTGTTGACACAGTTCATCCCTTGAGTTAAGTCTTCTTTACAAGTCAAAGGTACATTGGTAAAGAAATAAGCGTTCGCCTAAAACTGGAGTAAAAATGCAGCCAAAAGCCCTGTTCACACAGGATTAGTTTTACCTAGGGACCACATGTAATAAATAAATTACTCCCCAACGTCTGCTTTTTATGTGGCACATTTGCACGGGATAACCAAAGCCTGAGATTTAGCTGAAATTTACGGACATCTTCCAGATATGATGTTAACGCGCGTTGTATTGCGTAACAATGATGTTACGTCAGTCACGTTACGTTCAGGCTACGACCACAGCTCGGTGCTGTTACTGCCAGCATTAACCAGCTGCAGTCTGCAAACAGAAGGCATTTATTCTTACCACACAGAGCAATGCTTGATGTGAGACACCATTTGCATATGATTTTGCACCTTCTCTTCAGCCTTTGCTTTTTTTGGCGACTGTTATTGGTCGATGGGTTTTTGTTGGTCTGGGACACAAAAGGTTATTTATGCACTCCAATGCAGCCAAAAGCAAATAAAAATGCGCCCAGGAAACAAAATAAACACCTAATTACGTCTTGGATCCCGCCCATTTCTGTCCAAATCACAGAGATGTCTATTTCCATTGGATTAGTATTATCACAGGACCTCGGAGGTAATTTGTGGGGGAATTTTACTTTACAAATTACTGACATGGCCGATTCGCACGGGATGAACAACACGGACAATCTCTGTAATTATTACAAATAGCATGTGGTCCCTAGGTAAAACTAATCCCGTGTGAATTGGGCTAAAGTCAAAACTAACAAGGAGCTTCAGAGTGTCTGAGGTATGATGAAGACCTCTTTAATGGCCTCCAGCCACGCCGTGGCGTTTGTTCTGTTCTGAAGTTTGATCCGTTGATTTATTGTGAGCAGACAGAGGAGTTTCAGGCATGTGCCTGCAACAGAGGTACAAGAGTATATTTATGGTAAATAAAGGTGCAGTCTACAACAAATACTAATCTTTGTTGGTTTAAGTACCAGTAAGTCTCAGTTTCACTCA